ACACATCCCTTCACATTCTTTTCCCATTCAGAGAAGTCTATATCCCTTTTCCCCAGACTTCCTTGTCACCAATTTTCCAATCATGACCTTTCCAATTCCATCAGCCAAACCACTGGTTACAGCACATGAATTAGAATCGTACCTCTGGCCATTTTTCCTTTCAAGCAAAATGAATAGCAGGTACACTGCAGTGGTAATTCTGTTCACTGGGAGTGTTTTCCTTCACTAATGAATGCTCTTCAGGGATGTCCCAGAAGGGAGCTGTAGAGCTATACCTATCCGCTTTGGGGTGGTGCCTGCATATTGTGCAGAACATTCTATAAACCAGGCCCAAGTTTTCCTCAGTCAACTGATCATGGAGATCTCTACATGAAGCCAGAGGTGCAGGCTGGGAGAGAGAAGGCAATGTGGCGGCATAGGGACTATGTCTGTGTGGGCCATGTCTTCATGTAACTTACCTCTATCTTCAGGGCCTGCTCGAACCCAGTATCACAAATGTCACTTTCATTTGACAGTGGAGTGCTTCTGTGCATACCCAACTTTATGGCTTGGTGGGTTTGACCACACCCAGTTCATGATGGGCAGCTCAGGTTGCATGGTGGTCTGTGGTTAAGCTTGTAGTCATTGAAACTCAACAACAAGCCAAAGCCTGTTTCTCAAGGAAGAATTACTGTCTGCAGTGGCTGGCAGGGCTTTGCTCTGAAATTTTAAAACTGACCATCACACCAAAAGCCCTTGATGTAATATAAATTTATAGAAAAGCAACCAAAAATTGGGGTTATCTTTTAAAAAGTAATCAATACTCATGGAGGAAGAAACATAATTACTTTTTTCAACTATCTTTTGAAAATAATTTTAAATAAATCAGGGCTGTTTTATTTATCAGAAAAATGCTCAAAGTTCTATTTTGGGGTTATACTTTATATATTCACACTTAAATACTAGTCATATAATTTATGGCTAAATCGAGTAATGAGTAGCCATTGTATGGGTGTCTTTTGAACTAAGTTTAGCTTTAGTTGATAAAAGCAGGCAGTTTAGAGACAAGCAGATAGTTGAAGCACTATGCCATAAAGTTAAGATGAGAAAAATTTATTTAGAACTAAATGTATTCTAAACACACACACCCAATACAACCACTGTCCTTAAAATAGAACTCAAATATTTAGGTAGCTAAAAAGTATGTGTTTTTCATTTCTCTTAGACCTCATTTGGGGTTGACTTGATTATTTTTAGATTTTTTCTTTAGTATAAAGAGTATTTTTTTCTGATTTTGGTAGAATGGCACTTTTTGAAATAACCAAATCACCATTACAGTTGGCTTGTTAGTTTCTCTTCAAATTACATCTAAATTTTAAAATCAATACATTTGTAAGATATTTATGACTTTGTAAAGAAATACCTCTGTGAGCCAAAAGGGTCTGACGTGGTTTAACTGTCATGCCTCTTAGCAACCGGCAGTTGCTAAGGTTTGGGTAAACCTAATATGTCTAAAACTGAACTCATTACCTTCCCTTCATAGACCTGCTGCTTCTCTATTCAGAGCACTGAACTGGCAAGTCTCTCTCACTACAAATTTGGGATCCACCTTCCTCTTCTCTCCCCATCTCTAATCAGCCACAAAATCCTCCCCCTCCCTATGCCTTCCTCTAACTTGGATCATCTGTCCAAGCTCTACCTCTCTGCCCGTAGTCTTTCCACTCTGAGGCTATTCTTGAAAGTGTAAATCTGATCATTTGTTCATTAGAGGGTAGCTAACTAAACTTTTAAAGCAATGAACAATGATCATTTGTTCATTGCTTTAAAAGTTTAGTTAGCTACCCTCTGCCTATGCAAGATAAAATAGGAAACCCCATTCATGGCCCATAAGGCTTTTCACAGTCTGTCCCCATCCAAGTTTTCAGCCCCATTTTTAGTCACAGTGGATTGCTCACCATTCTCTGAATCAACAATGTCTAGCCATGCCTCCATAGCTTTGAGTACGTCTATTCATTTAGGTCAGTGTAGAGGTTAAAGACGTGGATGTAAGAGCCAGGCTGCCTCAGTTGGACTCCCATCCAAGCTATGACAAGCTAAAAGAGCTTAGGGAATTACATAAATTCTTTGTGACCTGCTGCTTCTCTAAATGGGCTTGATAGTAATGGTACCTATCTCATAAGGTTGTTGGGAGAATTAAATTAGTTAATACACAAAGTTTTACAACAGAACCGGGTACATTGCTAGTATGTGATAAATATTAGCCAGTATTCTTTTCTATTATTGTATGAACTTTGTGTTAACTGGTTTGAGAGCTCCTTGAAGGCAGGAACTGTGTCATACTCACTTCTGGATTCTTGATGTGTGACTGAGAGTAGATGCTCAATTAATGTTGAGTAAGTAGAAGAGTCAGCATTAACTGGAGAAGGGGAAGGCAGATCTTTGATACTATATTAGGTCATGGGGGGAAGCATGAGAAGGTGGTTAGGACTATTTCTAAATAGGCTGGTCTCTCAGGGCTGCTCAGTTTCCATCAGATAGGCAACCTGCTTATCTATCTATAGCAATGGTTCTCAACTCTGACTGCATATTAGAATCACTTGGGAAGCTTTTTAAAAATAGTGATGTCTGCCACCTCTACCTACCTAGAAGTTTCTGATTTAATGGGTCTGGGTAGAGCTCAGTCATTCGTAGTTTTTAAAAACTCCCCAGATGATTCTAAAGTACAGCCAAGTTGAGAAGCACAGGCCTGAGAGCAGGTTCACTCAGCTCTGCTCTCTTAGACCAACTGGCTGGCAGAGGCTGCAGAGGCAGACATGGTCCTGGCCCTTGACTCCAAACTGCTGTGCCTGGCAGAGGTGTGCACATCAGGGCTGTGTATAGAGGCAAGTAAGGTCACTTTCCTCTAGTCCATTGTCTAGATTTCTACCCGACTGAAAAGGACACATGGATTCACGCTAAAGTCGGCTGGGTCTAGTGATTGAGACTGTCACAGCGTATCCAGGCTCCAGTCCTGGGTCCTGTAAGTGTTTGCTGCATGGTCCTGTAAGTGTTTCTGGGATTCGAGAGGATTGGACTTGTTAGAGATATTTTCTAGCTTTAAATACTAAGATTCTATCCAAATTAAAAAAAAATTCGAGCTTCAGAATGTTATATATATATATTTTTATGTGAGTTTTGGTGAGCTTGCTCTTTTATCCAGGCAAAATTGGACTTAGTATTCCATGCTGAGCCTACAAAAATTAATGCAAATTCATTGTATTACTCCAGGAGATACTGGGCACTCATCATATTCATTTGTTCTGCTATTTGGTTGTCATTTTGCACTCTACTGCATTTTACAAAGATTTGGAAAGGGTTTCTCTTACTGATAGATTAGGGCAGTCTAATTGGTAGTTGCTGTTCATTTTAAGTGAGATTGCAACAAACTCGAATTGTTTGATGGGGCTTGTGAGATACAACCAGTGACACAACCATTGTTGAGACTCGGGTGTGAGTGCAATCAGAAAACAGTTTCCCTTTGTAGCCTCCTCATTAACACTGTGTTCGTCAGTATGCATTCAATTTTGCATTTACTTATTTATTTTTTGTCTCCTACCAATAATAAAAAAAACGACAGATTTTTGAGTCTGCTTGAAGAAATATGCATTATATACCAGGTTACAAATAGATGAGGAATTTAAGATAGAGGATAAATAAGGGTAGAAAAAACCCCATGAATTCATGGAGAGGATTCAAGGATGCTTGTCATGGGGTCCTGCGTAGCTACTACAGCCAATGGAAGGAATGGGCCATGATTAAAAACGGAAGCTAAATTGCCTGTGCATTTAAAACACACGACTAAACCAGAAATACTAAGGTCTGAGGAAGAATTTTACATATGGGTCCTTAGGAAGGGGACCCATGGTGAATATGGTCAATGTCACTGGCACTGTCCCTGCGGTGGGGCAACAGCAAGTTTCTTATGCCTATTTC